ATAAGTGTAACATCAGCGTGTGTCTCACGTCGACTAACATCCCAGCTGTGGCCTTCCCGTCTCCTCTGTCTCTCCTCTCTAGTCCACGGCGGTACTTCCTCCTGTCGTCTCAGACGGCTCTCCATCCCGAGTACAGAGAGGAGCTGGACGCCCTCCAGGCCAGGCACGGCGCGTCGGTGCTGGTGCTGGAGAAGTGCACCAACCTGTCCGAGGGCGTCCCGGCCGTGCGCAAGCGCTGCCACCGGCACCAGGTCTTCGATTACCCCCAGGTGCTGCAGGTGAGTGTCCTCACGACCTCTCTCCAGGCTCAGGGGCGGTCACGCACAAGCTGCAGTGACCTCTTCCCCAGGGGAGAAGGCCGCGGAGGGCTCTCTCGACTGCGTCCGTGGGTCTTCAGGCGCTCCGGCTCCGGCGTCTTGTTTGTGCAAAGCTGCCTGGCCTCTGAGTGTTCCTCCTCCTTTCAAGGACTCGTTATACTTTGAAAACCCCAATCCGATAAATTTATGAAGAAGCCACACAGACAAAGCAGACAAATGTCTGTTGCTTTTTCCGCTGTTTTTCTAAGCCCGTCCAGAGAAGCTGCCTTCTTTAAGGCGGCAGCTTGTGTCCTCTGGCTGTGCTGGCCCACGAGGCCGCAGCCGGCTTTTCCTGGGAGTGGAAGCTTTTTATTTTTTATGTTTTGTCTTTTGGTGGTGTTGCCCTTCTCACTTCCTACAGGTAGCGTGTCCTTCCCTACATCACGCGAATGGCAGTATTCCCGTAACCACTGGCAGGGCAGACCTTTTGGGGATGTTTTATAAGCAGGATATTGGATGTTCCAAAGGCGTGGGGGCTGGGAAAGGAGAGAGTGAGTTTTCTTCCCTTAAATATTTAAAATACCGACAGGTAGTTTGACAAGTATCAAGGAGCTGGTGTGACTTTTTTGTTTTTAGCTCCAAAGAGAACTGGCCCGTGCTGAGATTGTTCAAATACCTTCAGAAAGTGCTGCACCTCCGCCGGAACGTCTGCCTGATAACGGTGGTGACGCGAGCAGGGTGTCTGCAGTACCCTTTGTCTTAGACAGGAAGGCTGGTGACGAGCACGTGGGTCCACATCTGGGCCCGCCTGTCGGGCGGCCGAGCGTCCCCCTGCCCCTTCACGCGCCTCGATGTGGCTCGTCTCCCCCTCCCGCTTCCTCCTCTGCCTCCCCACCGGAGTTTGGCATGTTGAGTTTCGTCATGTTTTTTCCTGAACTTTCCTTTTCTCTAGCTTTAAAGATTAAACAGCGTTGTTGGTTTTTTTTTAATCTTTTTTTTTCCCCTCCCAAAGAGGCAAAAATCGGGAGGAACAGTGTGTGAGACAGGGTCTTATTTTGGTTTACCTATCGCAGCTGTTTTTACCCCTGTCCATCTCATTTTCCCAAACATTCCCCACATTGAGCGGGTTTGAGGGAGTGAATGGGGAAAAGATTTCTTGAGGTTTTGCTTCCTCTTTGATTTATCGTTCTTAATAGACCATATCTGTCTTAATGTGTTTTCAAAGGCATTGCATTCATGAAATGAATGTCTTCTCTATGCCAAGCACGCTGCTAGATGCCACGGGGAGTAGAAAGATGAAAGGAGATTTGATGCCTTTCCCTTAGGGGGCCCTCTAGAGAGCCCCATGTGCTCAGACAAAATGATTCTGTCGTAAGGTGGGCTCAGGTGGGCGCTGGGCCACGGTGTGTTTGCGTGGTGCGACGGGCGGTAGAGCCCGGGCTGCAGGAGGTCCCGAGAGTCCAGAGGGAGACCTGCATGTGGGTTGTGAGCGTTTTCAGAATGCTCAGTGGCGGCGTTGAAGTGACCCCGAAGAGTGGAAATGGGAAACATCGCAGCCGGTTCAGCTTTTCGGTCTTCCTGGTGTGAGCTGTTCCCTTTAGTATGTTTGTGTCAGGATGCCTGCCTCTGCGTTGCTTGGCTTCACCCCCGGGAGAACCTCGTGGTCTGCGGGGATCGGAGTGAAGGATCCGCAGAACTGGTTTCTAATCCGCTGCCTCCGCCTGTTCCTGCAGGAGGCCACTTTCTGCATGGTCCTTCGCGGAGCTCGCCTGGGCCAGGCGGTGTTGAGTGACGTGTTGCGGGCTGGCTGCGTCCCGGTTGTCATTGCCGACTCCTACATTTTGCCTTTCTCTGAGGTTCTTGACTGGAAGAGGTGAGTGTCGCCTTCTAATCGACTTTGCGCTGGTGGTTCTGCGTATTCGATTTCAAAGCCCCCCAAATAATGATAATGCGTCCCTTGGTTGGAGGACTACTCCTTTAGAGTGTTTTGCTAAGTTTTCCATCAGGGGCGTTAGTCCATTGGCCTAGAGCAGAGGTTGGCAGACTGAGGCCTTTGGGCACAGTATGACGGGCTGCCAGTTTTTATAGATAAAGTTTTATTGAGACACACCCACACCCTTCATTTATATATTGTCTCCGACTGTCTTTGTGCTTCAGTGGCAGAGTTGAGTAGTTGCGACAGATTATATGGCCCACAAAGCCTAAAATGTGTCCTGTCTGGCCCTTTACAGAAAATGTTTGCCAACCTGTGGCCAAGAGCAGTGGTTCTCACCTATCGCTGCAGGCTGTATTGGCCTGGAGAACCTTACAAAATGCCTGGGCCGCTTCCCCAGGAGCGCTGGGTTTCAGGCTCCCTGGGTGTGACGTGTGGCGCAGTTGAGAGCCACTGCTCTGGAGTCTGCTGAATTCATCCTCTGCATGGATGAGGGTGTGGCAGTGTTCCCACTGTACAGATGGACAGACGTCGGTTCTGCCTGGTTGTGCCTGTCAAGGCTGTAATTAACGGAATAGCCCTCTAGTCTCGTGTTGTTTCGTTTCCCCAGGACTTTGGAGGTTAAAGACTATTGAAAATTAGTTCCTTTTCTATATGCCTCCCAGGCTTTACTTTGCCTCAAACACTTAATTGCTTTCTTCTCTCTCAACTTTCTTGATATTTCTATCCAAGTCTGATCGTCACAGGCATTTGAACGATTTAAGTGGCCCTTGTTTGTGTGTACGTTCATTCAGCTCGTATCAATGGGAATGCCTACTTCGGAAATACAGTCTCTGCTCTGAAAGAGGCTGAATCTGGTGGGGATGACAAACCAGCAGTGGTAATGATGTGTGATAAGGGCTCTAACAGATGCACGCCCAGGGCGATGGGAGCCCCGTCAGCGGAGGGAGCCTGAGGCAGCCTGGACGAGCAGGGCAGTGAGGTTCCTTACATCTTAGAGAAGTGATGAGCCCTTCCAGTCACTTATTCGTCCCTGAAACGTTTACCAAGGGCCCTCTGCTAGACAGGGACACAGGGACAATCAGGGTCAGACCTTGCCTTCCAGATGCTCGCAGTCTAGGAATGGAAGATGGACGAGTAAACCAGCAGGGCCCAGACGCCGCGGTGAGATGCCGCCCTGGCTGGCTGGGATGCCAGGAGGGGAGAGAGAGGGAGGCACGCAGTGTTGCTGTGGGATCGGGGAGGGCTTCACAGAGGCTGGCCCTGAGCTGAGTCTGGAGCGAGGTTCCTGGGAGGATCTACGCCTGCTGGGGCGGTTGTAATGGTGGGGAAGCTGTGGAACGGCTCTAGATTTGGAGCCAGAAGGCTGGCGTTTGGATAACCGGCTCTCTTACTGGCTAGCGTTGTGATCTTGGCAAATCACTTAATCTTTTTTGAGCCTCAGTTTTCCCATCTGTATAGTAGAGTTCATTTGTTTAACAAATATAACGTGCTAGGCAGTGTACCAGGTCCTCAGGGTGTGCTGGGGAGTGGAACCAGGTGTGTTTCCATCCTAATGGATTGGCCTAGTTGGGGGAAGGGGTGTATGGTTTTAGTAAATTAGTTTATACAAATGTAATTACAAACCCTGCAAAGTGTCGCGAAGGGCGAGCCATCGCTGAGTCCTCTCTTTCCTTTACCCACAGCATCTACTCTGTTAGCAAATCCTGCCGGCTCTTCCCTCTCGACCCTTTCATCACTTCCTCCCTCCTCAGCATCCCTTGCCTGGTTTTGCAATGGGCTCCAGTGTTCTCCTGGCTCCTGCTCTTGCTTCCTGTGGTTTGTTCTAACGCTTTAGGCAGAATGATCCCGTTGGAACACAGTCAGATCATGCCATGCTTTGCCTGTCTCAGGCGAAGCCTGAGTCCAGAGTCTGGCCTGCAAGGCCCTGGACGCTTTGCTGGGACTCCCTCCCGTTTCTTTGTCTCCTGCTGCTCTCCGTCTTCTCTACCGTACTCCAGCCTCGCTGGCCGCCTTGCTGTTGCAGAACATTCCCGACCTGCTGCTTCCTCAGGGCCTTTGCTTGTTGGTCTTTCTGCCTGGAGTGCTCTTCCCACCAGTATTCTCACAGCTCCCTCACTCCCTGGCCTTCTCTGTCAGATTTGTTCCCACTGTTGTATTACCAAGACCTAGTGCATGATAGGGACTCCGTGAATATATGCTGAGTAATGAACGGAGTTGAGTAGATACCCAAAGGAGAGCAGTCATTGTTGGTTTAGAGTGGTCTTTGGAGAGTGGAGGAGAGTGGACCGGTCAGTGGCATTTCACAAGCAAAGAGCCTGTGGTGGGGTTTGTCAGGTGACCGAAAGGCACCAGTGTGGCTGGAGCACAGCAGGGGAGTGGACGAGGGACAAATGATGGATGGAGTAGTGAGTGGGAGGTGAGAAGATGGAGCCAGGGAGAACGATGGATGGAGTAGTGAGTGGGAGGTGAGAAGATGGAGCCAGGGAGAATGATGGATGGAGTAGTGAGTGGGAGGTGAGAAGATGGAGCCGGGGAGAATGATGGATGGAGTAGTGAGTGGGAGGTGAGAAGATGGAGCCGGGGAGAGAACCCTTGGAGAAGGTCGGCGTGAGAGAGGGAGAGGAGGCAGACCGCTCACTGGCCCGGATGTGGGGTGGAAGGAGGGTCCGGTGTGGTTTCTGCCTGCGAGAATTAAACAAGGTGAGGTGCGGACAAGCGCTTTGTGTACAGGGCTGTCCATATATAAATTGTTTTGCTGTTGTCTCCAGAGCGTCTGTGGTTGTGCCAGAAGAAAAGATGTCAGACGTGTACAGTATTTTGCAGAGCATCCCGCAAAGACAGATTGAAGAGATGCAGAGACAGGTAAGAGGCCCGATAGGCCTGTCGGGAGGTGACACGGTGGTGCAAAAGGGTGGCCTGGACTGCTTGGATAGTGAGCGACGGCAGCTGGACGCGTGAGTGGGGTTTATTTCCTCCACTGCATCAGCCACCCACACTGAACAGAAGAAAAGAGTGTCAGGGGAGTCGCATCAAATAAGGTTTGAAATACTAACTGTCGGGGATCTGCGAATGCTCCTGAGTAGCACGGTGTTCTGGATGGGAAGCTGAACTTCTTCGGAAGGTTGTTTTCAGAGCAGGTGATGGTTGTAGTGACGAGGACAGCCGTGGAAGCCGGGACATGTCAGGGTGATGGTCTGAGTTGCTGTCGACCCTGGAATGTGGTCTCAGCTGGCCTCAGTCCCCAGTTCAGACGACCTCCGTCCATAAGTGGCCCCCCCGCCCTAGAAGAGCTGCTGGGCTCCTGCCCCCCTCCCCGAGTTTCTCTCCCACCTTGTGATGCCCCCTGGGCGGCTCCTCACTGTCTGACACGCTCCGCTGGGTGTCCCGTTTAGTCCTGCTTCCCTTCCTTTCTCCTGAGAGAAATTCAGTTGGGCTTAAATGTCCAACAAGGTGAAAAAAAAAAAAATTAAAGACTATCCCAATATTGGTACTGTGCTTGTTTTTTCTTTTTTTAAGGATTTTAAAAGTTTTTATTTTTATCACAATTATCCTTGCAGGAGATGAGCGGAGAAGAGGTTTGGCGGGCCCTCAGCGTTAAGTGTGTGCCTGTCCCCCGCACCCCCTGTTTTGGTCTGTACCCACCCACAGGCAGAGAGCCTGTATGCGACCTTCCAGAGTAGGGGTCTCAGGCCTCTGTCCGGGTGAGGGCAGGGTGGCCCCCTGGCTGTGGAATGGGTCCAGGATCTGGGCTGCTGAAGTGCATTTTCAGTCCGCCTCCTGCTGCCCCGCCGGGCCCCGCCGCGGAACTCAGCATTTTGCCGGCTGATTAAGGATGAGCTTTCTCGGGCCTGTAGAGTCGGCTGTCACGCCTCCTCCTGCAGTTCAGCTTCCACATTTCGTTGCTGTTAGCTCATCTCCCATCCTCTTTATCTTAGAGTGATTGTGCCTCAGTTTTTAAAAATTCACCTTCATTGTCATTTTAAGGTTTTAAGAGGGAGGGAAAGTTAGTGGAGTGATTCAGTCCCCGCTCTGTTATGATACTGAGCTTTTTAAACCAAAGGGACGGCTGCATCGCGCAATATTAAATATCTAGGTTCTTACCCTAGACTGCCTGGGTGGAACGCCAGCTCGGCTGGTCGCCATCTCTGTGCCCTTGGCCACGGATTTGCCTTCTCTGGACCTCAGTAAGCTCATCTGTGAAGCGTTTTGGCGTTCTGATTTGAAAACAAATCCCAGGTTGCTTTCAGCCTCGCCGTAGTCTTTTCGCAGCATACTCATGTTTATTTTAAGTTTCTGTGCTTCCCAGTTGTTACCTAACTGCTGACCTTGTCTGGGCTTTAGTGAATTAGAAAATCAGTCCAGAGATCTCTAGATTCTTAATCCAAACCTGTGGTTCTTACAACTTATGTAGGAAAAATGCTTCTTCAAGAGGCCTGGTGTTTGCGCTCCTGGGTTTCTTTTTATGGCATCTTGATCTATTAACGTAACTGAGTAGAGAACCATCTGCTGAATCAGATGCCATCTTTTACTAGACTCTAGTCTAGGAAGGCCAGGAAAAAACCCACCACTTTCGTGCTGGCAGGAGAATCATTTGGGTTTTGGAGCAGAGTACCTATGGCAGCCTGAAGAACTCTGTTCACGGGGGCGTGGCTGGGCATCTTCAGAATCATAGAACTGTTATGACAGAGTGAATAAGGGCCATTTCAAACAGTGTGCTTTTAGTTTATTTGGCTTCAGAGAGATATAAGACTTGGGTTTGAGCCCTGGTTCTGTCCCTGTTAATTGTATGGCCGTGACAGGTCACCGAAGCCCCCTGGCTTTCATTTCCTCATTTATGGATGAAGGAATTGGCCAGACCATCTCTCCTGTTCCGTTCAGTGGTTAAAAACTCTCTGAAACTCTTGTCCTTTGCAGGACTATTCCTGTCCTTGACAACAGTGGTAATTAAGAGGTCATCTCTTCTCCCCCTGAACACCTCGTCCCGAGGGCCAGCGACCTCCCCTGTGTTGAGCACCCTCCGTCATGTCAGCTTGCAGAGAAGGGCGGTGCTGCCCTTTCCCGCCTGCCTTTCTCAGCGTCTCTCCTGCCCTGTGACGCCCCTTTCTGCAGCTGCCTTCAGACCCTCTAAAGCTGCAGTGCCTGCTTCAGTCGGGCTCTCCTTTCTCCCAACATTGTGTTCCAGAAATGACCCAGGCTGGGCTGATCTCAACTCGGGGTGAGAGGGTCTGGTTGAAGTAATTCCCAGGCAGGTATAAAGGATGACTAGGTTCAACTGTGAGGTGCCAGGAGCACCCTCTCCTCCTCCGATGTTGTGACAGCCAAAAATGTCTCTAGATGTGGCTCAGCGTCCCCATGGGGCAGCGTTGCTGCGATCGGAAGCCACTGTGCTGTTGATAGGCAAGGCCTCATCTCTCTAAGAGGGAGTTCTTTAGGACCCTTTCCAGAATGTGCTTGTCCTTTTGCCCTCTGTTCACCGTCCTTCCGTTTAACCTGTCTTTGGCAGCAGTAACTGAAACAATAGCATACACCTGGTTCCGGAAAGTTTGTACACCTTAGTGAGTTCTCCTCAGGGAGATCCAGCTTGGATCCTTCTGTAAGACAGGCATAAACTTTTAGGGGAAAACCTGCTGCATCTGTAGTTGACCCCTCAGGGGCCCTGGTTGATGTGTCACAATGATGAGCTGAGACTGAGGAATGGGGTCTGATTTTCTGGCTGAGCGACTCAGAACCAGCTTAAGGAGCTGCACGCACACTGGTAGCCAGCAGAGGTCTCCATCCACTTTGAAGTGACTCATTTTCCTTCCGACTGTTGAAATGTTTCGGAGAGCTCCTCTGGGGCTTCACGCTGACATTGTTCTTCCTCAGCTCTCCAGAGACTGGTTCTTTCCGACGAGGAAGAAACAGTGCTGAGCACAGGGTTTTGCTCTCCCTCCATGGAATAGAGCTAAAGTTTCTGAACTGACCCCAAAATGTGGGCTGGGATCCTGGCGATGAAGGTGTTGCAGTAACGTTTTGCAGCTTTTCCAGTTCAGGATCAGTTCATACAGGGGATCAGATTCATGCAGTCTGACTGAGGAACGCAGAGGTGGAAGTCCTCGTGACTTGGGAATTAGGCTGCAGCGAGGGAGCAAGACACCTTGCCTGGCAAGGAAAAGTCCTGAAATGTTCCTCCTGCCCGTAGCTGTGGCGGTGAGGCAGCCGTCGCGTGAAGTACAGGGCTAGAGCCCGGAGGGAGAGCTGCGGTTGAGCTAAGTACAGCCTGTGTCTGTCATCTGCTGAAGGCCCACAGCGAGAGGGCCGGCGAACGTGGCATCGGACAGGCTAGGTTGGCTTACGGGTTTTTTTCGTGGGTAAGTTAAAAACCGGTTCTTTCAATTAGTAGAGGAGAATAATTGTAGCAGTATAAAGCCAACTTACCAGTCTGCCTTTTATTGTCCTATGAGCTAAATTAATTAGTCAATTAGTTTAGTGAAGCCCTAATTAAGTGTTGTTCCCCCAAGGGGAGACAATGGGAGATAGTACAGTCTCTGTGATCCCCGCTCACAGAGGCCCGGCGCTCGTCTTGGGGATGGATGAGCGTAAGCACACAGAAGCCTGAGAACGTGTGCACATCTTCAGAGTACGTTGGAGTCTGACATGGAGGGGGCGGCGGGGGCTAATGTCAGGGACAGGTTTACTGGGGCGTAGCATCTGAGGTCGGCCTTACGATGGAGGGTCCCATCAGCCGTCTTTCTCACACTGGAAGGCAGGAAGAAGTACGCAACTAAATATTTTTCTCTGGTCAAAAGGAACATTCGTATCTCTAGTCTCACCTGAATCACAGTGAACAAGAGAGCAGTCTGGGATCTCAGAGGGCTGGACAGACACTGGACTGGATAGTCAGAAATGTTTGCGTCCACAGGGAGGAAGGTGTAAATGGATCCCCAGTCTATCTGTTGAGTGGAGTCTCCAAACATTCTTTTATTGGTCAGTGGCTCCACCAGCAGTGACCTCTGACCTCAGCCACACCAGGAGGTGGAAGTCAGGAGCCTGCCTTGCCTTTGAACTCTTCTTTGTACTCAATTGACTAGGAGCCTTGGAGGTGGCAGAAACATTCAGCGTCTTCTTTTTGCTCTCGCCTTTAACACTGGGTCACTTAAAATATTAGTTTCTTTTCAGTGTATTCCATTGACCCGTCTCAATTTGCCTTCATATTTTCCTGCTATGCCTACCGAATATATGTGCTGCAGAGGAGTACTCGAAGATAAAATGGACTGAGTAAGAAAAAGGCAGAACACATCTATTGAAGAAAATAAAACCCTAGGCACGTGGTCCCCCCTTCTCCCAGGACTGTAGTGGGGCCTGGCTGCGATAAAGGAGAGAGCAGAGGAGAGCACAGAACACGGCAGACGTGTGTGTCCACCAGAGTTCACGCCCTTCGTTCATAGAGGGCCCCTAAAATGAGGCTCTTATTTACACATAACATCGACACATCGAATTAGCCAGTTTGGGTACCCATAGTAGTTTAGAAGTCACAAATTCGAAGAGGAGAAAGACACAAGTGAGTGTTTCTGAGATGGGTCATCTGCCAGTCTGGCCTGAAAAAACGCAGTTTTAAAAATAGAGCTCTCAGCATGTCGGATTTATGGCTGACAGCTTTCAGCTTCACTGCATCCCGGGTGTATCATTGTAAGATGGCAGAATTCCTCAATTCAAAGAAATATGTGTGTGCTTGGTTTTCATATTTCAGATTTCTGACATCCAAGTGAGTCTTACCATCAATTTGAACACTGAGGACAGTTTCTGTTCCTTCCCCCTAAAGCTGTTATTGATGAGGCATCCTGAAATTGAGGAAATACAGACCCTGCTATTCTTGGTGATGC